TGAAATCCAACAAAGTATCCATCAACAGATAAATGGATAAACAAAATGTAATATATTCATACAGTGGAAAATATTCAGCCTTAAAAAAGGAATGAAGTTAAGGTGGGGGGGAAGGAATCAATTTCTAATACATGCTACAACACAGATGAATCTTGAAGTCATTACACTAAGAGAAAAAAGCCAGATACAAAAGGAAAAATACTGTTTAATTCTGCTTGTATGAAATATTCAGAATTAGACAAATTCATAGAGACATAAAGCAAATTAAAAGTCACCAGGACCTGGAAGAGGGGGAATGGGAGTTATTACTTAATGGTTACAGAATTTTTGTCTGGGATGATGAAAAGAACAGATTTTCATCACTATTTAGAAATAGACAGTGGTGATGGTTGCACAACATTGTAAATGCAATGAATGCCACTGAACCGTAGTCTGAAAACATAGTTTAAATGGCAAATTTTGTTATACATATTATAATCACAACTTTTAAAAAATTAATATTGTAAAATACCAAAAACCATTGAATTGTACATTTCAAATGGATAAAATTTATCTCAATAAAGCTATTTTGAAAAATGAAATCGGGGGGTGCCTGGGTGGCTCAGTCAGTTAAGTGACTCTTGATTTTGGCTCAGGTCATGATCTCCAGTTCCATGAATACCAGTCTACTTGAGGATTCTCCTTCTCTCCCTCCACTCTGCCCTCTCCCCCTCTCATGCACTCTCTCTCTCTCTCTCTTTCTCAATAAATAAATAAATATTTTTAAATGAAATCTGAAAGCCCTAGCAGCCACAAATGTCAAAAAGCCACAAAAGCTTCCTTTCTTCTTTATTACCAGTAGGTGTATGCACCTACTATGTCTATGTCTATATGAACATTCTGTTCAACAAGTCTCTGAACACTCCATCTGCTAAACCTCAATTCCTATAAAAGATGATCAATTTCTATGCTTATCATTGATCCTTCAGATTTGAGAGAACTGCACATTATGAACATGAATCTCTTTGGGTCCTGGATCTCAAGGGAACTCACCAAATTTTAGAGCTACAAGGACTTTCAGATCATAAGGTCCAAAAATAAGCAACATTCTGATAACTTCCATTTGGAGAGATATACATTCATATATGCAGCTCTAAAACAAGGAAATCATTAATATTCCAGGCTTGTATGATGCCTTAAAAAGACTGTTTGCTATCCCTTCAAAAGGCTTAATTTCTTTTCCTGGTAACATTCACCATGATATTTGTGAAACTACCTGTAGTAAGGCGGCATAAACAGCTTCCATGCTACCCTCATTTTTCTCCTTTGGAAAGCTAGCTGCCTAAAGGTTCCCAATTTGATACACTTTGTGCTTTCAGGTAAGTTTCACTTAAAGTCAACTCTCTAATTGCATTTCCCCCAAACCTGTGGAACAATCAAAGCCAAACAAGCAAGAAGAAAAAAAAAGCATGCAGATTCGTCCTCTGACATCTGAGAGGACTTGCTGGTGACCCCTTCTGACACAGCTCTTCTGAACTCTTCCAAGAGCTATGATAGCCCATGCTCCCCCAACAGAGCAGCAACATGCCCATTACAGACAGGACAGGGCTTCTAAATCCATCCACATTCCTGACTTCACAGAGCAGTCTTCAAACACCCAAACATCTTTTATAAATGTACACAGGTCATCAGAAGTGAAGACTTCTGTAGATGGGTGGTGATAATGGTTGCACAACAATATGAATGCATTTAAGGCCACAGAATCCTACACTTGTAAACATGGGTAAGGTAAGTTTTACGTTATGTATGTTTAACCATAATGTATTCAGTTCCGTATTTTAGCATGTAAATTATCCAGTTTGCAGAATGTATCTATGACTTTTGTTTCTTTTCCTTCTCATTCCCTCTAGTTCCCTGACTTGGGGCCAACTGAGGAGCAAAGAAACCTGAGCAAATAGTAAGCAGAGGGAAAAAGAGGTTATTTTTATTGACGGCATTCCCTGTCTACCTCAAAAAAACAATTTGAAGTGAGAAAGACAAACTAAACTGTTGAGATTTAACAATTAAAAGGGGGGATTAAGCTATTTGTCCTCTTTAATCACTATGGGGTTCTGTTCTGTTTGGTTTCTTCCTCTCCAGGCATGTTTTTTTGAGAAACGGATGATCATATGGGAGAAAATAAAGTCTAGGGGTGATGTGCAAATGTCAACCATGTAATGTATGAATGAACGACTGAGAATTGTTATGAAAACTTTAAAGAAAAAAAATCACCAGAAATATATTTTAAACTGCTAATCCTATTTCCTCTAAAGTTTTTAAAACTTTAGTTTTGAAACTACTACATCACACAAATAAATAATTTGAATCTTAATAAAAATTGGCCCTTTCATATTGAGGGTTAGGCTGAGCCTTTTGACCAGGTTATGAAGAGTTGGCATATTTTCATATTCAGAGCTCTGAAAATAGAAATAAAAACTAAAAATACTCTCCTTTTAAATCCTTTTATAATAATTTTTATTATTATACTATAACTTGTGATTTAATAACTGTATTAAACTAAGTTATTTCATAGCAAAATAATAATGTACAGGAAGGAAAACAACCTGTAGGTATAAAAAACTGACCATCCAGGATAAGATCTCTTCTGTATTTTGTTTCTGTTTTGTTTTTGTTGTTGTTGTTGTGTTGCTGTTTTTTCTTCTCTGCATTTGTTTCATGGTTCCCAAATCTGACTGGCCATCAAGATCCCCCAGGAAGAAAACTGCTTGTGTGTCTGTGTGTCAGTGTGCATGCACAAGCGCACATGCACTTAAATATAGGTTTCTGAGCTCAACTCCCACAGATTCCGATTTAGCAAGTACAAGAAATGCCTGGGACTCTGCACATTGAAAAAGTTCCCTGAGGGAGTCTGGTGATCAACCACGTTTTAGAAAACCTATTTTAAATATCTTTTTAAATTTCTAGTATCACTTTCAATTCCAACTTACTACTAAGCAACAAAAGAGCCCGCTGCAAACCTAACACTAGGATAAAGGTTTACATGCTTTGTGTCCTTTAATCATCACAACAGCCCTACAGTACATGAAGACAATATTATTCCCATTTTACAAATGAGGAAACTGGAGTCCGTAAGAATTACTTAACAAAATTACTCAACAAGAAACTAGTTGAGGCAGGATTCAAAGCCACACTTACAACTCTCCAACGCCCGCCTCTTCTGGAAACAGTATGGTACAGGAGAATAAACAACGGTTTTAAGTAGCTGAATTAGAACCCCAGCTCTGATATCTTTTAGACTTTTATCTCTCGGCTTTGTCTGTTTCCTCATCTGTAAATAAGGCTAATAGTAATACATATCCTTCCTAACTCACAAGGTTATTGTGAGAATCAAAATGGGCAAGTACTTTCAAAGTCATGAATAGTTACCAAAAAAAACAAACTATTAATGGGGGAGTTGGAGAATACTGAGAAACAGCACAGCACAGCAAGCAGTTAAATGCTAAGACCTTGGAGCTAGGCTTCACGTGATCGAACCCAAGCTCTGCTATTTTCTGGCTGTGTGACCTTAGGAAAGATGCTTAACTTTTCTGTGCAATGGTTTCTTTGTTAAAATGGAGATAATAAAACCAATCTCGGAATTTTGTGAAGATTAAATGAATTAATGCAGCTTAAATGCGTAGAAGCATTTGTCGCACAGAAAGCACTCAAGCGTTAAATGTTTAGAATACACCCACTTTTGCAAACAAAGCATCATAAATCCAAAAAGAGTTCAAATACTTAGTACAAAAAAGCCGAGAAGGTGCCAACATTTTCTATCTTTATAGAAATTTGGGTAAATCCCTCCAATTTGGGATGTGAACACTTTGAGTAGTTTCACTTTTCAAATAAAACTATGTTTCCAAACATAGGCTTCCAAAATGCTTCATTTGTGCAAATATTTAAGATCATTGTATCTCACTTTCACTTCATTTTAAAGTATCTTTTACCCTCTTATATGAAAATATCTCACTTGATTTTTTAAAAGTGATTTTGTTAAAGTATCATAAGCTTGTCAATAGTTGTTAGACAACTTTTCTTTGCTTCAATCATCCCTCTACAGAATTTGACTTCTAATTCAAAAGCTAACTGAGTAGCTTACCAGAGGAAAAATGTAACAATGAGCTGGATCAAAAAGAGACTGTATAATATGTCAAAAGGAAATAGCACCAGCCCTAAATGAGCTATTTACTAAGAATAACAAAGAGGAAGTGGTGAGGGACTAATCTTCACAAAAAGAATATAATTTAATAATGCTCTAACCAATTCTTGCACCAGATTAATTTATGGTCAGGTCTGCAGCTGCAGATAGAGTCAGAGTCTGAAACAAAGTTGGCACCTCACTAAGAAATCACAGCTGGGAGTTATCTTAAATTTCCAATATGCAACAGGAAATGTTGCCAATGATTCAATAAGTGACAACCCTCTCCATTTTCTTCTTTCTTCTGTGTTGTCAACAAACCAAAACAAAAATGCTCCAGAAGCTCTGGTACTAGCTGAAAGTTAAACATAAAAATTCTACTGCAGTATTTCAAAAAACAGCTAAAATAACTGAATCTGGGCAGACACCAAGTAAGGACTGTTTCTATCAACATTTATGCAGTGCCTCCTGGAATATGCTAACTGTATAGCCCATGAGTGTTTCAATAATATAGTTATCATATTTTCCACATTCTAATTACCTTAAGTTTTAATACTAAAGATTCATTATAAATTTCAAAGCATTACAGGTACCTCAAAGTGATCCACAAAAAATAAAATATAAAGTTAATTTTTCGATAAAAGGAACAGATATCCAAATAAAGAACTGGTAACTATATTCTATTCTAATACAGTATTTAGAGGTCAGATTCAACATCTTTTTCACAAGTAAGCATTCTAAAATCTGCTCAGTAAACGAAAGTCTATATATACCTCCCCGCCACCAGCACTTTTACGTTCCCAACTGTGCAACTCAATGTTGAGAGGAGGTTTTCCAGACACACCTCTCTGGCAATGTTACTCAAAGCTTCATCTTCTGCAGAAAATCGGTCTTTTACAGGCGTCCTTTTCCTTCCAGAACCAGGAGTCCCCATATTGTCTTCTTAATAGTGTTTTAACTGTGAAATGTGATTTCACCGTGTTCGGCCCTGAAATAAACAGAAACAGAATTTACTTAAGATGTTTCTCTTTGTACCATTTTATTTATTTGTTTTTTAAAGACTTTATCTCTTCGACAGAGATCACAAGTAGGCAGAGAGGCAGGCAGAGAAAGAAAGGGAAACTGGCTCCCTTTCAGCAGAGAGCCCAATGTGGGGCTCGATCCCAGGACCCTGAGATCATGACATGACCCGAAGGCAGAGGCTTAACCCACTGAGCCACCCACGTGCCCCTCTTTGTACCATTTTAAAGCTCCTTTACATATTCACTTTTAGAAAAATTATATTTGTGTATTTACATATAAATTAGTCACCAAATACATTTTCCTATCAAATTATTCCAACAAATTTTAGAATATTTAAATTTATACTAATTATTAAACCTCCCAATTCTTTCTTATCATGCTATACCCACAGACAGCAATCTGTTGTAGGGGCGCCTTGGGGTTCAGTCAGTTGAGCACAGAATTTTGATTTCAGCTCAGGGTTGTGAGATGAGCCCGGCGTCGGGCTACAGGTTTGGCCAGGAGTCTGCTGGAGATTCCTTCCCTCTGCTTACCCTCCCCACCTCTGCCCCCATGCTCACACTGACACACTTTCTAATAAATAAATACGTCTAAAAAAAAAAAAAAAGAATGTGTTGTAATATTAGCCTCAGAAAAACTGCAGTCAGCAATAATTCTACTTAACAGTTTAAAATTACTACAGCTATTTCTAAAACTTATTTCCATCACAGAGCAAAAAACATTTCAGCAAAGTCATTCATTCTAAAGCTTTGAAACAACGTATTCAAGAAATTTTAACACGGAACCTTAAACGTACAAAGATAAGATGGCTTTTTAGTGTAATTTAAAAAACAATTCCAATTAAACTATTACCACATAAAATAACAAATGATTAATTATTCTGCAATTAACAATTACCAACACTGTCCATGTAACAATAACTGCGTGCCTGCTACTACCAGGTACTGTGGAAAGTGCCAAAGATACGATGACAAACAAAACTGATATAGGCCATCGATTAAGAATATATCTATGGATCTATTATTGTTGCTGTTATTATGAAATAGACCCATTTTTACAAAAAAAGGGGGGGGGAGAAAAATTCATCTGCCAGGATTAAATAATAAGGGTAGTAAAGATGATCTGGCCTTCCAAACACATGGTATTTGAAATTAAAGATTCCCATAAGACAATCCATCCCAATTTGCATGACCTCCCTCTTGCAGATATACATTCCTGAGAAGTACAGCTCATTTAGCAAAATACCCATTAACTTAAAACTTTTTTTTCCTAGCTTTAACAAAATAAACGTGAATCGCAAAGGAATTCTCAAGTAAGTTTGTCCCAGTAGAATGAACTATATCAAAACTCCAAGTGACTTTAATGTGTTGGAATTTACTTATTCCAGGCAAAATAAAACAGAAGCACTTCATCAATTCACTCTTCCAAAAAAGTCTTCAACGAAAATTCAGGCCATTCCCCTCTTATCTGACACCACTTCTTATTCCCACATAGCTAGCATGCTATGTTTGTCAATCAGAATGAAGACTGAGGATAGTTCCTCACTCTGCCATAGAAAATGTATCTGGATATGATAAGAAAGGACTCCTTCAAATGGAAATGAAGAGAAGGAATGTTAGTCTGAAAGCAGCAGCTGAGAAGTCCCAGCCACAAATCAGGACAATTTCTGAAAAGCTCAGTGTTGTTTTTTCAGAAGTCTTCCCTCATCCTCACCCTCAGCACCATTTTAAAGATCATACACTTAATAGTAACAATGTACAATACAAGTATTAGTCACCCACTGAGAAAAAAGCAGCATGCAGTACTTTTCTTTTCAAAGTACCTCTTTCAAAGTGGCAATTTAACTGATGCACAGTAATATCACCCAATATTCGTCCTTCAGCCAGCCTTCCAAGGACACATGCAAAGACATTCCACAGAAACAGGAAACAAAAAAAGGTATTTTCTAATGCCAGGAACATAAGAATAATTATAGAAGGAGAAGTAAAGATTTTATCTAAAGTTTAACAGTGGTTTCGTTAGGAGGAAAGGATTATGGCTGCACTTTTTCTTCTTCTTTTTGATTTTCTAACATTCCAGTAACACTGGGGAAAGAGAGATGCATAAACCAGATCCAAGGCTCAAAGAATAAAGTGGCCCCAAAATGGATCACACCCGAATTAGGCGGCTGAGACACACTATCTGAAGCCACTGCCGGTGGCACTCTTTCTAATGGATTTCTGTCTCCTCTTTTTCCATAATCCATTTCCTTCTTCCTCAAGGAACACTGCCTTAAACCTCAGATCTGCCAGGATACTTCTAGTACACAGACTTAAAAAGAATTATCTTTTCTTAAAAACGCCTCAAAACAAAACTATTTTGGGGCTCCTGGGTGGCTTAGTCAGTTAAGTGTCTGCCTTCGGCTTGGGTTCTGATCTCAGTGTCCCAGGATGGAGCCCCACATGGGGCTCCCTGCTCAGCAGAGAATCTGCTTCTCCTTCTCTCTCTGACCCTCCTCCCTGCTTGTTCTCTCTCTCTCTCTCAAAAACAAACAAACAAAACTGTTTCAACAGGCTCCAGGCTAGACAGTCCTGAGAGAAAGATGACAGGAAAAGAGACAGAGGCACAGGATAAGCAGGAAATGGGAAAAACTTCTGTCTTCCTTGTCCTTCTTGTCCTATCTACAGAGACTAGAGGTTTACATGAGTCATTGGCCAGGTCCCATCACCTTTCTCAGGAGCACACGAGCCAAATCAACCATTACCTATGTCAAAAAACAATCTAATATTTTTGAAAGAATTACATGATTTGTACTCTGTAGGCAGACATCCTTACTAATATTAGAGAAAGTAAAAGGTTTTTGGCTCCTATGCAGTCTATATTCAAAATGACAAAAATAAGGCTATAGACTCAAAAGTTGATCTGAAACAGATTATTTCCAGTTTCTGATCCTAAAGGACTTTCAGTAAGTTGCTATCACAAGGAGGATTCCTCATGAATACTTTTCTTCAAGAGCTGTGTTCATCTCTTGGAGCTTTTCCTTGGTGGTACTGGCCAAACTAAGAGCTAAACCTTTACATCCACTGACAAAAACAAAACTGCCCACATTTTGTCAGGCCCATTACCCGAACAATGTCAAGCTGATTTTCTCCAGAAGATTTTGTCAATAAGGATCTATCTACCTAAGGGAAAGAAGGGAAGTAGTTTGAAGGATGTTGTGAAATAGAAACCTTCCATAATAGATATACCAACAAGGCTTTCTTTTCTCCAATTAGTTTCTCACTTAATATATTTCTGAAAAATAGGCATTTTGCCACATTAAGTGGCACTTCAATCATGATATTGTTCACTTTTGTGAGAATAGAGTGGGTAAGTAGCATCAGTAAGTCACATTCTAAATATAGCACACTTGCAGAGTTCTGTCTGGATCCCAATAACTGCAGTTCTTTATATCTGAGTATTTCATCATGGGGAACTCAAAATATTGGTATAAGCCTCTGCATCAGTCATCACTACAGTTAACATTAGTCTATGCAATAAAAGGTTTGGTCTTTATTCATCAGTAAATCGCACTATCTGGAATGGCACTTGAACTAAAGACAGAGTGGGACTGCAGCTGTTCCCACTGGACCAAAGTTAAAGTGAGAGGATCTGAGTTCAACTGCTGCACTGCCATTTCCCCTACCTGAGGCTTGGTTTCTTCACTTACAGAGCAGACACAACTGTCCAACATGGTTAATCGGAGCTCAAGTGAATTCAGGTACTTAGAAAGCCCTCCATAAATGTTTGAAGTGTCTTGAATTAACTACCTCTTTTACATATTCAGTTTATGAAGTAGACAAAAGGGCAATCCTGGCCTTTCTTTAAATTCTTGCACTTTTAACTAAACAAAAACATCCTCCAGTTACTTCCTGCAGCATGCGTTATGTGATTATCATTAGCAATGCTAAGAATATTTGCAGAAGCATGGAAAAATCTAGAAAAAAAATAAAAATACCTTAACTATAATCATCACACTATGTAGCACATTTACATAATAAAAAATTAAAAAGAAATTTTTAAGGTACTTTCTGGCATTCCAAGTCCATTTTTGAAATTCCAAATGAACACACAGGTTTTAGAAGTGTGGCCTTATAATGGGAGTTAGTTCTCTCATGAGAACACAACTGACTTAGAAGAGAGAAATCATCAAATGGTACACTTAAGATCTGTGCATATCTTTTTATCATTGATTCTTTTTTTTTTTTTTTCCTCTACAGACAGATAGCACAAGCAAGCAGAGGGAGAGGCAAGCTGAGGAGAAGCAGATTCCCCAATGGGCAAGGAGCCTGATTTAGGATTAGATGCCAGAATCCTGGGATCATGACCTGAGCCGAAGGCAGACACTTAACCAACTCAGCCACCCAGGCACCCCAAATGCAGTAAAATATTAACAGTGGACTCCAAGTAGTAAGTACATGAATGTGTATAGTAGAACTCTTTCAACTTCTCTGTAAGTTGCAAAATGTATATAATGAAGTGTTGGAAAAAAAATAACTAGTTGAGAAAGGCAGATGAATAAGTGAACGAAAGGCATGGGAACTGGTAATTTCAATTTAAAAAAATCTTGATTTGAGGGGCGCTTGGGTGGCTCAGTGGGTTAAGCCTCTGCCTTCAGCTCAGGTCATGATCTCAGGGTCCTGGAATTGAGTCCTACATCGGGCTCTCTGCTCAGCAGGGAGCCTGCGTCCCCCTCTCTCTCTGCCTGCCTCTCTGCCTACTTGTGATCTCTCTCTGTCAAATAAATAAAATTTAAAAAAAAAAAAATCTTGATTTGAAACCAGAAGGGAAGGTAGAGGTCATCACAGTATGGAAGAATACCAATAGTTATGTAGACATTAGAAAGACTATGGGCAAAGGAGAGAATGCTTCAATTGCTGACTAGAAGAGAAAAAAAATGAAGGGGGAAAGACAGGGGCAAGAGCAAAGTGGTAGCAGAGGGAAGGAGAGAGGGCAGGCCTGCAGGAGGAAAGACTGAACACTTAAAGACATCAATTCCTGCAAATAGCTAAATGAGGACATTATGCAAAATGAATAAATCATTAATAGAACCTACAGAAAGAATAAAAGGCGCATCTAGAAATTAAGGCAAAGTACAAAATGAAAATATGTGTATATGAGGCAAAACTGGAAGACCTGGTGGAACATGAAAGGTAGATACTAAACACAAATTATATCTCAGGAGAATATGAGAACCTCATATTAAATTCATATTTTACAAAACAAATTAAACTCATATTTTAATGGTTAAATTAAACTCATATTTTACAAAATAAAACGCCTATAAAGGGTCAGTGAGAAACTGTATAATCCCTTCTCCAACTTCCACATTCGGTAGTCCTAAGAATTCACAAAAAGTTTCTTTTAAAGTCTCATATTTTGAATGCATATTATTCTCATACACCCAAAACAATTGATAATTTTTCCATTTCCTCCTTTCATAAGATGACATGCAAGTGGTTGCACTTACTTCCTTGCTAACCATGTTTAAATAAATGAACTCTAATGAGCGTGTGTTCGACATGATTAACAATACTATTTTCCTCAACGGTGCAGAACCCGAATTAGGAAGATATGCTCTTACCCAACAACTTCATTCTCAGTATGCCCTGAGAAGTAAACCATTTTCTAGTACCATTCAAATTCCCTCCTTTCCCTATGCTTTTTAAAAATATCTCAGTGTCTACTCAAAAACAAAGAGAGAAAGAAAGAAAGAACAAAAGAACCTCAAAAATGAGTGTATGGACATACATTCAAAGGATGAAAGGAAGGGAGAGAGAAAATTACATATGCTAAGGACAGGTCAGACTTAAAAGTGTGCAACAGAGCAAAAAACAGGAAAAGAACAGAAGTACCAAGGAGAACAACAGAAGCTCAGGCAGCAAAGAACAAAGATAAAACCAAAGACAAGGGAGAAATAAGGAAGCATCCAACAAAGTTGTGATTTTTTTTAATGTAATTACTATGAAGAAGGTTCTAAAATTAGAAAACTGTTATAAAATAAAATACATATTTTTAAATTTTCTCTTTCCAACAAATACGTACTTTAAATTTGCAAAGCACTACGTACATAATAATCATTGCCTTATAAGTGGACAAAAGAGTAAATGGGAAAACTAAACTGGCAAAGAAAAAGGGAAAAGTACTTACACTATTTCTACATATGCTTTCTGAATGGTGTTCTCTGAAGCACGAAAGCTTTTATTGTGAGGGAGTCAATTTACCTATTTTTTTCTTTTGTTGTTTCATTTGATGTCATTTTTTTTAAAGACTTATTTGCTTATTCTTTAAAAAGAAAAAGAGAAAGAGAGCAGAAGCGGGAGGGACAGAGGGAGACACAGAATGAATTCCAAGCAGATTCCACGCCTGAGCACAGAGCCCAACACAGGGCTCAATCCCACAACCCTGAGATCAGAGCTAAGTGGAAACCAAGAGTCCAATACAACCAACTACGCCACCTAGGCACTCCCATTTGATGTAATTTCTAAGAAAGCATCGCCTACCCCAAAACCTCAAGAATTTATTATGCTTTCTTCTTAGAATTTTACAATTTTAGCTCTTACTTTCAAGTCTATAATCCATTTTGAGTTAATTTTTATATATGGTATGAGGCAGGGTACCAACATCATCCTTTTGTCAGTGGATATCCACTTGCTCCAGTACCATTTGTTGAAAAGACTATTCTTTCCACAACTAAATGACCTTGGCAGCCTAGTCAAAAACCGATCAACCATAAAAATAAGGGTTTATGTGTGGACCCTCAATTCTATTCCATTGATCTATCTACATAAATCTATATAAATCTATAAATAGATACAGAAATCCTTCTGTCAGTATCACATTGTCTTGATTACTACTCTAGCTTTGCAGCAAGTTTTAAAATTGGGAAGAGTGTGTCTTTCAACTTTGTTCTTTTTAAGATTTTACTGGCTATTCTAAGTCCTTTATATTTCCATATAAATTTTAGGATTGGCATGTCAATTAAAAAAAAAAAGAGGCAGCTGGAATTTTGATAGAGATTACACCGAATCTATAGATAATTTTGGGAAATACAGCTATCTTAACAATATCAATTCCAATCTATTAACATAGGATGTCTTTCCATTTATTCAGATCTTTAATTTCATTCCACTATGTTTTGTGGCTTTCAATGAATTCTTACACTTCTTTTAGTAAATTTATTCCTCGGTCAAGTGGATATAAAAGTTTCTATAGGGAAGCCTGGGTGGCTCACTCGGTTAAGCATCTGCCTTCTGCTCAGGTCATGATCCCAGGTCCTCAGGTCCTGGAATCGAGTTCCTCTTCTCCCTCTGCCTGCCACTTCTCCCCGCTTTTGCGCACTTACGCTCTCTCTCTGACAAATAAATAAATAAAATCTTAAAAAAAAAAAAGCTTCCATAAAGTGTAAAATGCTATGGAAATGTACTGTTATCACCAACACCAAAAAACAAAACATCTAAAATCACAATAAGCAAAAGAGAAGGCAGTAAAGTAAAATTCAGAAGCAAATCCCATGGTTAAGGTTAATCTTAGTTGAGCCATGGGTAGGCATGGGAATTGCATATTTTCAAACACAAATATAATCCAACACCACACCCATATACTTAGTGGGAAGGCATTTTTCACTATTTCCAATTTACTAGGTATGTAGCAACAATAAAAGGAACTGGAAGTCCTTTTACTGAATTATACAAGGGTGTGTTTTCTATCTGGGGTATACAGAATTATTACTGAAACACTTCTTCCACTGAAAGAAATGAAAATCAAAACTAACATGATAGAAGCAAGTAACTAACCTCTGTTACTAATAATAAAATAGATGGAACCAGAATTAAGTGCCAAAGGAAAAAATAAGTTAAATTAGCCTTAAACCTTAGGCTTTCCTTCTGATTAAAATGAACTCTACTGGCAAAATTTATATTAACTATATTCTAATAACAAAAATAAAATAGAATATAATGCAACAAGAGGAAAAATCATATTAATAAATATGATCATTTTAATTTTTTGTTAGTCTATAGTAAAACCAAAGATAAAACTTTAAATGACCCAAATTGACAACAACAGTTTTAAGTCAAGGCCAGTCAACATGATATAATAAATTGTGGCAGGAAAAAACTCATAGGAAGGAAACAAAGACAAG